CACAAAAACAAATGTTGCTACTATGCTCAGCGTAGTCGATTACCTATAGTCCATGGCATTTTGAGATTCCCAGAGATGTCTGCTCGGAGATGGACACGTGCTATAATATTGTAGAGTAACGTCCGGACCATCTACGCTTGCAAAAAAATTACTAACGTTGTGTGTTCGTTTTCTGAGAACGGAGCTGGTTTCCCAAAGATCCTCTGAAAATCCGATCTCTGGAGTTTTTTCAAAAGTTACCTCCGCTTGTGAAAAGTTTTGCTCAAGTCTTGGCTATTGAACAGCGAACATCGCAGGCCTCTATCTCATTCCTATCAAAAGTTATTCAAAAAATGCCCCCGGGTCTTGTATTTTGGGATGGATAGTAGATTGGTTCTAAATGAGGCGGAGTAAGTTGCTGTAATGATGGGACATTTCAAATAGATTTGCCCATATTCAAAAAACGCGATTCAGGCGTCATGCGTTTTTAATTCACTGTCCTTGTCTTTGTAGGCTGTACTTCTAATTTTGCACATTCTGGTACATTTTCTGATGTTTTCAAAATTCTTATGGAATTTGTTGTTGGATCAAGGCAAATATTTTTCAACTCAGCATCATTCAACATTTTGAACGGTGCTCAAAGGAGAAAAACGCTATCAGAGATTCAAATAGCAGGTTTTGTAGAGAATTCAATTCTTTATCGTTTGAGCTTAGAATGAACTCGTTGAATCATTGGGTAGTGCCCTAAAAATAACGAACAAAAGTATCTCATTTTATCTAGGCCACCCGATATGTTTTTACAATTTATTTCTTTTTCTTCTTTAGTTTTTAACTCAAGATAATTTGACGTTATGGGGCAAATGTAAAACTTATTTTAGCTCTTTTTTTAAACAATTAAGTTTAGTATCATATATTCTATTTTATGTTGGATTAATACTAAGATTTCAAGATGCAACAACATCAGCTAGTTTTGATGCTGCTAGGTAAATAATAAATAATAAATAATAAATATTAGAAGAATGACACCGTTCTTCGTCTTTGTATAATTATTTACTTTATTATAGGATTGTCATGGGTTATGCTATAGAAATTTGGATTCTTCGTGCTCTGTCATTTATTTATGTACTCTCATTTTTGGGTCCACATTTGGTTGCAATTGGAAAAATGGTATACTTTCATTTATCTGTGTACATGGACGACTGTAATTGTTTTTATTTCAGCTAAAAGATCTATTGTTTTTTATGATCTTAATTGGTTTAGTTATGACAGCCTATGGTGTTGCATCACGATCAATAGCCTATCAAAATTTAGATGATCAAAATGGTCAATTAAATTTTACTGCACTAGATGTTTTTGGAAAAATTATTTATCCTGTTTATTATTTAATGTATAGTGATTTTAATAATGAAACTGGTTATTTAGACGGTAAATATTCTCTAAATTTCAGTTTTTATAAATTAATTTGTTTGCCGTTGTTTTATAGCTTATACAGGTGCTAGTTGGTCAATAGCTACTCATGTTTTATTAGCATTTCATATGTTATTTATTAATGTTTTATTATTTAATTTATTAATTGCAATGTTCAAGTATGTCGCTAAATTAGAAGTACAGCCTACAAAGACAAGGACAGTGAATTAAAAACGCATGACGCCTGAATCGCGTTTTTTGAATATGGGC